CTCTTTTTGAACTCTACCTTCCAATTCTCTTCCACTTCTGAGTTGAACGGATTTTACTTGCTCTTTATTCTAGTCTTTCAGATTTATTTTTATATTACTAGGAAGTGTTCCTTGGGATCTATTATTTAATGATTTTTTATTTGTCTCAATTGATTCTCAATATTTCTAATTGTAGCTCTTTGACTTTGTAACTGATTTCCCATTTGTAACACCACTTCTTCTATAAACTTCTTCTCCTTAAATTATGGAGTATTGTTAAAACCTGGAGGATAAATAGGTCTTTAATTACTATTTCTTTGATTGTTCCAGTTTCCCAATTAGTTTACTTGATTGTTCCCCCATTGTTGATTATTACAACCCATAGCATTGTTCCAATTGAAGTTGGGATGGTTCTTCCAACCTGGGTTATAATAATTTGAATATGGGTTATTCTGCTTATTATTTATGGCATTCAAAGTCACTAATGATGCTTGAGAATCTACTATTTGGCCTAATGAATTCTCTTCAATCATAGGAATTTGTTAAGAAAAATTCATTCCAAATTGGTCTAACTTCCTTGAAATTGCAGCAACTTGATTTGGTAGCATGGTAAAAGCATCAGTTTCATGAATATTGGCTACTTTATTAAGATTTCTCCTTTCAGATGGCCATTTTTCTTTTTTACTTATTTAAAATTATTAGTAGCCATACTTCTATTAAAACATAAGCTTCATGAAATGGTTTTTACATCAATGAACCACCAGCAGCGGCATCGATAATACATCGATAACGGCATCGATAATAGATCTAAGAGATCCAACAAATCTATTATAAAAAGTTTGAATTATTAACCAATCTGGTATAGCATGATGTGGGCACTATCTAAAGAGTTTTTTTAAATCTTTCACGTGCTTCATAAATAGATTCCCCTTCAAACTAGCTAAAAGATCTAATATCATTTCTAAGCTTCGTAATTTTTTATGGTAGAAAATATTTAGCAAGGAATTTTTGTGCTAAATCACTCCAAGTTATGATAGATCCAGGTGATAACGAATGTAACCATATCTTAGCCTTATCCCTCAGTGAGAAAAGGATATAATCTAAGTCTTATAGCATCATCTGATACACCATCATATTTAAATGTAGCACACAATTCTAGAAAATTGACAATATGTAAATTTAGATCTTCAGTTGGAGCTCCCCCAAACTGATTATTTGATGCCATTTGGATAATAGCATATTTAAGCTCAAATGAATTAGTCACTACAGGGGGTTTTTGAATACTATAATGAAATTCATCCACTGTAGGGTTTGCATAATCTCTTAAAGGTATAAAATCTTCAACATTTTGATTATTCTGATTTGCCATTTCTTGAAAATTTTCAGTAATTTTTCTAATAGCTCTTTAGGCATAAGTCTTGTGGAACCTGAATACGCATACATTACTATATAACACATAAAATAAAATAAAGCAAAAAAAAAAACACAACAAGAACTTTTTATATAAACGACACTACAATATTCCTAAAATATATCTTTAAGTTTAAAAAAAGACTTACTAAAAATTTTGTTTTCTAAAAACTTCTTTTGAAAATATTTTTGCAAATTACTATTATATTTCTCCTCCTTCCCGATAACGATGCCAAGAACTTGATCCCGATTTTCTATAGATAGATGTAAAATGTGATGTATGCGATTAATTTCCTTAATAGATATTCTTAATTTGAAACAAAACTAAAAACTTGATCCACAAAAAAAAAATTGGTAAATCTTTCACTATGAAGCAAATAAGAATGCAATTATTATATTTTAATATGGGATATTACGCAAGTATACGTATCGTTATCAAGTAACATAGAACTTATGATTAAGTCCCAAATATCGAGCCCATAAGGAGGACTAATTTTAGATAACAAAATTTTACTTAACAATATATTCTTACTTAAATTTAAGATGCTAAAATAGGAATGAAAGTTCGATTCTTTTTATAATTTTTGATAATTGAAAATAAAGTAAGCAACTAATTAACTTAACTAAAATACTTGTAAGAGGAAGATAATATAAATAAACTATCTTTTTCTTTATCATGAATCAGTGATAAATATAGAAATTATGCTGTGGAAGTATGCTAAATGTTTTGTGCCAAATAGGAGCAATAATAGTATTTACCCTTACTAGAGATGCTATAAAAAACATTGGCTAATCTATAGTTTGAATAGTCTTGAAAACCGGCTAGGCAGAGAAGATACTAGCTCTCACTCTAGAGTTCCCTCTTCTCCTTCCACCCGGGGGCTAACATCTCGTATCAAAATCTAAAACTATAAATCAAATTAGGGGTTTTAGCATGTCACTCTAAAGTCCTCTAATTCTACACCCTTTAAATATATTTTTCTATTTATTTTCACTCAACCCCATGAACTACATTCTCATTCATGAAATCAATATGTGATTCCAACCATTTGTTAACTAACTCAATACCATCTCAGATCTTACATATTCTGACAACACGTATTAACATTTTAATTGGCCAAATCAAGAAGTAAATGAATTGCAAGGTTTCAAATCATCACAACTTCTTCCAAAATTGAAGTCTAATACTTCTCACAACTTCCTTTTAAATATTTAATCAATTATCATTTTAAGGAAAAAGATAAAGAAAATTACTCAGAATCCATGGAGAAAACATAACCTCACATGAGTTTAAAAGTAGAAATCATGCACACAAACAAGAAATCTAAATTAAAACCAATTGTAGACACAAAGATAAACACTTATCTCAAATTCTCTCCACCAAATGTCTTGAAGTTCCTTTGAATTCTCTTCCTTCTCTCACGATACAAACTAACACTCAAAATAAAATAAAATAAAATAAAAATGGCCAAAAGGTGGCCGGCGGCGGCGGCGGCGATGGGTTGTAAAGTTTGATGGATGGCTAGCCTCCTTCTTGGAAAATCTAAGTATTTTCTTATAAAATCCAATGGGTACCTTGGCGTCTGTTCAAAAAGGTTTCTCCATTCAATGAATCTTCTAGAAGTTGCCTCCTCATAAGCCAATTAAATGAATTTTTGTGTCCATGAGATATTTCCTACGTTTTTATCAAGAGTTGTTTCAAACACCTCTTAAAAAATCCGCTCAAATTAAATAAATCATCAAGTAAATACTTGTGTCGCTTAAGTGCGGGTACCTGGCGTTTAGACACAGAGCTTCTGACGCTTAGGCGTCAGACTGGGCATTTAGGCGCCCAAGTCTATTTTTGCACATTTTTTCATTTTTGCTACAAATTTAACCATTTTTCACTCCTTTTAGCATTTTTCATCCATTTGATTGTTCATCCATTTGAGAAAAACACAAAAATACCTTTCATTAAAGCGCAATATCTCAAAAATAGGTATAAAAATATGTATTAAAACACTATATATTTTAGGTGTATTAACACACTTAAAGCTAACGTTGTTCTTTTGGTTGAAGATAATTTATTTGATTTTTCATATAAAAGTATTTTTTAACAATCCAATATGAGACTGCACATATGCCTCAAATGCATTACAACTATCAAACTTGCTAGTGTATAACATATTAGGTGAAGTGTTAGAAACATCACCACTCCTATTGATTATCACATAATGGGTGTTAAGATAAATGTTAAGAAGAAAATTTACCTCTTAAATCATCACTAAGCACAAAAGTACCATTCCATTTAAGTAGTTAAGAGACTAACAATTAAATAACACATGTTCGCAAGTTTTGTTTACTACCAAAAGCTTTAGTACATAATATGTTGTGAATCTTACGTATACAATTTGACTATTTATATAGTTTTGCTAGATCACTATGTGTGTTAAGAATAGTAAAAAGAACAAACACACCTAACAAAGTCTAAATTGCAAGCTTGTAATTAAAATTATAACAATTATCATTTAAAGTGAGGCAAAATAAGTCAAGCCAGCTTAAGTGTCCTTTTTTTTTGCCAAAATTATACTTCAATTTTATTAGGTTTCTAGTATAAAAAACATTGTGTAAAAGCTTTAGAATATTTAATGACTTACACAAACACACCAAGTTTAAATAAATTATATCATACATAAATCATATACAATCTTAAACTACACATCAACAATATAATGTTTTCATACTTGATAATTCAAATTGTAAAATATAAATGAACATCAACATGTACAATCATATGTTTGGTATAGCCATTAATTTGGTATTGTTTCTAAATAACATTGATGATTATCTACGACTTATTATTCATGCCTTATAGAGATTATAAGGTATGATGTCTGCAGTTCACTATAAATAGAACATTCTGCTAATACAATGCAATCACAAATATGATTTATCTAGAATATTGTTCCTTTGATCATCTAAAAATTGACTATATTTTATGTTTATAAAAAATCTTAATATCTAATGGCTATTAAGGGGCATTTTAATAGTGCTTAAGCCTATAATACCCATTACAATTCATAAGATTATGATTGATCATATTTGCCTTTTTTTTTCTATTAATCCCTTGGGTCATTCAAATTTTGCAGAATTTATAGATCTTCCGCTTGTAATCCTTTACTTAGCTTCCGCCCACTTGAGATTTCATATCTGGTTCTTGCTCCAACTCTTTACCTATTGAGTTATACTAGGTGCAACTAGTTATTTATCATAAGGAATGATAATTGTGACCAAATAAAGCATGATAGATGTAAGACACTTCTTTCCTTTGATGCAATAGTATTTAGGTGACTCCATTGCAAGTAAAGGAGATAATTTTAAAAGGCTTCTTAGTGAAAAAAAAAATAGAGACTTTTTCAAGAGGACTGATGACATTCGGAGTTATAGAACCATTAATGATCAGTTAACCTTTACTAATCACATTATTTTTATTTTCAAAAGCATCCCAATGTAGGATCATAGCATTGCCATCAAATTTAACCTGTAATACAATGCTAAAGACCAATAACATAACATGTATGTACATGTTATCAGGTTTAACTCCACTATTTGATTTTATCACAAAGCCTTCCTTACTAAATGGGATAGCATTACATCATCACACTCAAAACCACGCCCCTAATTTCTCTCAAGTAAAAATTGTGATCATCTTCTGTTTTGACAGAATTCAGAGGCAGCATATGTTTTCAGGTTTAAAAGTTTTTGAGGCCATTGCTGGACATATTTTTTTGTCCTATTGCAACATCAAAGCCTGCCTCCCAACTAATCGTATGCAACAACTTCTATAACAATTTGGCATGGATGAGAATCTAGATTCAAATGAACAAAAAACCATAGCAACATTACAAGGATAGAAAAAAAAGAATGAATACGACCCCAAATTCACATTTTTAGGCTGCTTCAAAGAAAAAATTAAACATATCATATTTAGGGATTCTTTGCTTTGATTCTTAGCTTTCTAGCTACAAATGCTGCCCTGGGATGAGCTGGCCTCTTACTACCATCGCTTTGCTCCACCTCTACCCAGTTGATAACCTTCAGCAGTAATGACTGTGGATACTTACATAAACTCTGCCGTCCTTCTCCACCTTTCTTCTTCTTTTCTGACTCTAATGCTAACTCCAAGAATTCCATGAACCAATTTCCAGCTTCTGTCTCCACCTCCTTGGCCAATCTAATTGTGTTGCTTAGGCTAGAACAAAGTTCTATTTTTTTCTGATCCACATGCACATCGTCAGCTATTTTTATCTCAGCAGTAGTCTTCACCTTTGGACTTGCTCTCACTTTTCTACAAGTATTTGTTTTCAACCGAGACCCTTTTCTCTTGAAAGAGTTCAAATTGTTTGAGATCTCCTGAAATAATGACTGCTGCTCATTTTCCTTTTCACTTTCCATGGATGATTCCATGGATGTTTGTGTTGCTGCTCGAATCTTCTCCATATCAACCACAACCCGCATGATCTCTTCGTGAAAGTGGAGGTATTCTTCTAAAACAGTGGCAGGGAAATCTGGCTTTGCAATCGTAATCAAGTCTGACAAAATCCTTCAAACATGCGGACGAAGGAATATAAATTAAAACTACAAAACTTCTAAAACTTCTGGCAGTAATGGCGGGGAAAGAAATAAGCATCATACTTGACAACCCGAAAAAGATTCTCTGCAGCAGAAGCATCTCTCAGTGCTTGGAGTGCAACCTTTTGAGCCGTCTCTTTATTCAACATGGACTCCTAAATTCAACAAACTAATAATGCTACTTCACTTTTTTCTAATAAAAAAAGTGATCATGAAAAATGGGGTCTAATATTTATACCTTTTGGAGAAGACAGAGCTTTGCAGGCATCTTCCAGCGATCTTTGGCGTTATTTTTAGAGTCATTTGACTCGCCGCCCATTGTTTTTACTCTAACTCTAGACGAGGCAAAAAGCAAATTCTTTTCCTAAGAAATTAAAGGGATAGTAATCATTCCTGAAAATGTCTCAAATGTTGATAAAAACACGCATACTGAAGGTAAAAAAGAGAAAAAAAATTTACGGTGGAGAAGGGACTCTTTGAAATCTTCGACTCCTTTCCTGGGCTGTTCCCACCTTTCGGATGCTTTGACAATCCATATCTTTTAGTCATCAACCTCGAGCCAGATTCCTTTATCTCTACCACTCTGGACAGAACATCACCAACAGAAGTTCTACAGATGCCGATTTTCCCCGATTTGGAAGTCATCTTTGCTGGTGTTGGAGTAATGGAGTCGAAATCTAAATTTGTGGGCTTAACAACCATTGGAGAAGAAGCTCCAATCAAAGGTTTTTTCTCTGATTCCCATGGCTTTCTTTGCCTTGATTTAACTTCTTTATAATCTGATTTCTCTCCATGATTTCTATTTCGGGCAATTGGTTCAGGGGTTCCAATAAATGGATGCCTTCCTGGTAGTGGCTTCACACCATATATAACAGGCACAGGGGAACCTGGCTTCAATCTATCAACGCTGATGAACTGTCCCAACTGGATCTTGTTGCTGAGAACTAGGTCATCTTGATCAGGGGGTAAAGTGACATAAATTGACTGGGAGGAATCAGATAATTTAATATAGAACCCATGTTTAGGCAAGAGATCCTTCTCATCAAGGTCCGCAGGAACAATGTCGGTCACTTGAAGAAGAGCGCTGCGGTGCTCACCCACAGGCTTTATGCTTCCAGCATTCATTCCATCCAAAAGCTTCAGAAGAATCCCAGGAACCAATGCCCCCATTGTTCTCAAGATTACAACCCCAAGCTGAAAAAAAAGGACATGAAAAGATGAAATAGGCAAAATCATCAGAATATTATGCTCTGCTTCTCGGACAAATATAGTGAAAAAAATCAAAATCAGTAAATCAGTTGACGATTAACATCGAAATCATAGAAAACCTTGAATATGTTATGCTTTCAAAAGAATTGACGGAGAAACCAAGAGGAGAAAGAAGGCGTCGCTTTCAGAATACAAGGGCATATCAACGGCATGGAACTGGGAAGCTCACCTCGTTTTCTTGGTTTAAACTCGCCGATGTTTTCAGATTTTGGTAGTTCCTCAAGCAGAGATCGCTCAGTTAGGGATTGCTTTTTGGTTCCTGGGACAGCCGTGCGATTCTTTGTTTACCAATTATCACCCTTCTACTTAATCGTCGGCGGATTGAGGGTATCCAAAAAGAGCAAGAGATGAGGATTTTATTTTTTTCGACCGTTGGGCAACGGTCACATTATCTCAGCACAATATTCGAATGAAAGGGAAAGTCCAAATTACCTCTAACGTTTCCCTCAACATTGCTAGTTGATAAGCCGGTTTTTTAATGCCTGTCAATATAAAATTGAAATTGGAGATTTCTGGCATAAATAAGTTTTTTCATTTTAAAAAATATATTATGAAAAAATAAATTAATTCCATAAAAAATATGAATATAGTTCAGACAAATATAAATATTTATTTATTTTTGAAAAATAATTAAATAAGAGCGTATTTGAGATCATCTTTATTTTTAGATATTTATTTAATGTATTTCTTATATATTTTTATTTTTAAATTGATCAACTTATTTTAAAAATACAGAACAAAATTAATTAATTTTATTACTTAAAAAAAAAACTATTATTAAAACTAACCACCACAACTCAATCAATGTGGTCGCTCTTGCCTACCATATTGGTCGACGGACAACCTACATAAATTAGATTATTTAATATTTAATGAAAATAAAAATATATTTTCACACACAAATATTCTTTATTCTATCAAAACATAATCAAAATAAAAAATAAAAATTATCTCAAACGACACCTAAGTTAATATACAACCGTGTAATATGTTGGTATGTGCAAATGTAAGTTTATGCCCAACTCAGTGGGTATGTATCTACATATAAAACTCAATATAATTTTTTTTTTGTTGAGCACAAATTTTGATGAAATTCTTAAATCTAGTAGCGCTACGAATTCAAATTGGAAACTTAGAAGAACAAGTCTAGGATCATCTAAGCTCGATTTCGAATAATTTATTGTAAAAACCTTGTCAAGCCAAATTCAATGAACAAAAAATCAGAAAATTTTAATATAATTAAGAAGTACAAATAGTTAAATAATATTATATAATCAAGAAGGATCAACATGAATTTTCTATGAGAATCTTCTATTTTCTAAAAATAACAATATTGTCCCCTTTAGAGATCTATTGAAAGGACTTATTTTTGCTCATTCAAAAAGGCAAGGATAAAGCCACAAGAGAATTATAGAGAGAAGATGGGAATAATTTCTTGAGAATATCCAACATTTGCCATTACCTAGTGTCAATGAACACCATCAAAACCATGCTTAAACCCCACTATAATGACTTGAGCCAACACCCATGGTCGTTATCAAGGTTGATTCCCAGTTTTGCAGACAACAACAATTCTTACCAAGGATAATAATCAATACTAACATATATTCCAAGTACCATGTCAACCATCATCATTAAGGCCAAAATCCTGTGTCCATAAAAACCACCAATAAATGCATTGATATCCATCTTTATAAAATAAGCCTAATGCTCACAATCATTTGAGAGAATTATTCCCTTCATTTTCCATAAGTTTGATTCCCTTTACCACCACTAAATTTAATGAATATCATCTCCACTATATTGGAGAAATGTCATTATTAACCTCATTTTTGGTCAAACCCCTTTTCATTGATGGAAGCTTGGTTGGAATTCACTTAAGCTCAATTCTATTAAACCCTAGAAATATTGATTTCTCTCTAAGAATTATTATAAGACTCAAAAGCTTATTTTAAAGGTTGCATGAAGCTTATTATAACTAATAAAGACCATGCAAGCTAGTCTAATTATTAGTTGCATCATTTTTTACGTAAGAGCTATCTACTAAGTTTTTCATACATAAAAATGGTTTTACATAACTTTTTTTTCATCAAGTCATTAGTTTTGAAAATGGACTTTAACATTGTGTCCACATCATCAAAATATTTCAAATGAATCTATTGGTGCTCAATTTTGGCCCCATTTGCATACCTTTTAAGAAAACGATAATCATGTGAGAGAAAAATGATAATTAGGAAAGAAAAAGTGATAATTTGACCAAAAATCTTTCAAAAAGACTTCAAATGACTCCAATCTTCAACATAATATATTTAAAACTTCAAAACAACATTTGGACTAATAAAGTTAATAAAAAGTTTTGATCAAAATTGAAGATTTTCTCTCCTAGGGTGAGACCCACTTTGACCAGTTAATTTCTTTTTATTGATCTTGAATTAGTTAAAGCCAATTAAACTATTGAAATCAAATCTATCAATTTGACCAAAGTCAATCACCCTTCAAACTTGACAACTCCTCAACCACCATAACCACCTAGTTAATCACCCTTCAAATTCAAATGGACATAACGTTTGCTACACAGCTCCGTTTTTTAAACTATTTAAACTGTTGGATTCCTACTTTTATCTTCTTCAAAATGGTATAATATTTAGATATTTTCTAGACAACTTTGACAATTTTATAGAAAAACTCCCATTTTTGGGCTTATTTACAAAAATACCATTGGTTTAATTAACTCAATAATTATTTATTTTTAATTTTCCACCCAACAATCCATGTGCCCAAATTACATTGGTCCAATTGTAAAAAAAATCATGGATCTATCCTATGGAGCAATCATGGTCATCAAGTTTAAATAAAAACCTCTCTTTTCATCCTCACAATCCAAATCACCCCACTGCCTCTAATAAGCCGCCCACAACCACCCCCACTAACTCTATTACCCAGTCGTATCCTCTATGAACTGCCACATTTCATGCCATTCTTTCTCTCTTGCTCTCTCATTTTGGTTCCCTATTGCCCTCCTTTTGATTTCTTCCTTTCTTCCTTTCAAAACGGTGAGCCCCATTTAAAAATCTTCATTAATTTGTGTCAATCTAAGAAAGAAGGAAGAAAAAGAAAAAGCAAGGAAGATCCTCAACTAATTCAAGGAATTCAGCAACAAAAGCAAAGGTATAACATACTTTATACCATGGATTTTTAAGCCTTTCATGCTGCATCCCTAATTTTAAAATTTATTATGTTCCTTGCAAAATCCATTCAAAATTCCTCTCACATTTCATGAGGCTTTCCTTTTATTTGTATTCTATCAAGTTGTGTTGATGTTAATTCACACAATTGTTGAAATTTCATGCAAATATTATAGTGTGTTTTCATCATTTGAACTCTTTCTTATCCATGTGATGTTTTACCATGAAATTAACACGTTGATTAGTTTAATTTATTAAAGCCAAAAACATATGTGTGTTTTGTTGACATTTCTTTAGGGCTTTTATCCTAAATATAACGTATACTATCCATGTGATGTTAATTTAGCCAATTAACATGTTTTTCATGCACCATTAGACAAAACTAATAATTTTTCAAGTGTTTTCATAGGGCTTTCTTAAGTATGATGTCTAAATATGTTATTTAGATGTTCCTCTCCCCAATTCATAAAATTGCAACCCTATTCCTCACTAAAACATCCCAACCAAAATTTAATGCTTTAAATAAATTTTAATTAACTCTAAACAAACATTAATCTTAAATTAACCCCCTTAATTATTGTCTAATAGGACTTCAGTGAAAATTTATATGCTAATTTCCTACTAATCTTTCTTAATCATCCCTAACCAAAATTTTGGAGGCTTAAATACTTGCTTAATAAATTTAAACTACCCTAACTGAAACTTAATCAAGCTTTAAACCCCTTACCCTAAAATTTATTGCCTAATTACATTTCTAATTAGTGTAAAATCCCTTAATCAAACCTTAATAATAGAAAATCTGATTAATCAAACCATTAGTAAGTTAATTAAATGACTAAACATCTAATTAATATATTAAAACTTAATTAACAAACTAATGATTTAATTAGACAATTAATGAAATTACTTTATTTATATATTAATTTACTAAATAATAACATTAACGAATTAATTAACATTTTAGTCAATTAATTAATGAAAAAATTAAGCAGATAATATCTTAATTAACAAATTTATGGTCTAATTTTTTAATTAACACTATGATTAAATAATTAATATTTTAATTAACCAATTAAAATCTTCAGTGACTTTTTAATTATATCAATCAATTAATTAAAAATGTAATTAATTAATAAATAATATATTTAAATAATCAATAATCTAACTAACCCAATAAATAATCAGTTTATATTTCTCTAACCTAAAATATCAAGATCTTTAAAAGGGAAAGAGGAAAGAGAAATGTGTTGGTAATATATATGTTAAAAGAGCATTATACGGCTCCTTACATGTTAATTAAGCAAAAAATAATACAAAAGTTTGGGTTGGAGAGGATCTTCAAACAAACAAAACCGAAAAAAGGTTCAAACAACTCACTCAAAATAGAGATCCTCATCCAATTACAACTCCACAAAAAAACAAAATAGATAAAAGAAGTATACCAAAAAACAAAACGTATACCCAAACATGTACAAGTATACTAATTCCAAAATGTATACTCCCAAAAGTAAAAAGAGATCCACTGAAAATTGTGATAAAGAGTTGTTGACCTCACTTTTGGTTGATGTTTAGTTTTTCCTCTTTAGTAGCTTAGGGTCTAGCCATAGGACTTTTCTGTTGACTATTCCTAGAAAACTAGAAAAGAAACCCTCACCATTAGAAATTCTACCCTCTTCTTTACTCAACTTGAAGCTCTACATAACCTCTAGCACTTAAAGCACTTAATAGGTGAGGTCATTATGGGAGAGCTCAAGGAGAGTTCCCATAGGATTATTTGACCTTATAGTTAACCCTGGGTGTTGGTCTGGGGCTAAGACACTCACTTTCACCCCTACACTTTCTCACTCACAATCCCTCACAACCTTAAACCCAATATTTGTTGACTTTGATCCCTTAATTTTTAGCTAAAACCAGTACATAGAGGACCCAAATGAGGATTCCATTGGTCCATATATCATATAGGGTGGTTGGCACCCCAATTCTACCAAAAATATCCAACTTTGCCTTTTGCCCCAAAATCCCCCAAATTACCTAGATACCCTTGGAACCCTAAATTTGGCCAAAATTCTCAAAATTCCCAAATCCATCCAAAATACCCAAATTTGTGCAAAAATCATTTCAAACCTCTTAAAAATACCCAAGTTACCGAAAACTACTAAAAAATTCTAAATTTACCAAAATACCCTCAAAATGGCCAAAATTACAAAAATACCCTTGGCACCCCAAA